ACACACACACACACACACACACACACACACACACACACACACACACACAAGGAACGGTGCCATGCTTTGAGGCCTACATTCTCCTGGGCCTCTTAGCATGTCCCCTGATCCTGTCCCCAAGCTAGATGATCTGTTTCTAAATGCCAGTGCTTACCTGCAGGCCTTTGTACAGGAATCTCCTTTTCAGACCTGCAATATCTTCCGACACCTTAACATTAAACTTCATTGTCAGTTACAAAAGCCTTTTCTAGACTCTGTCTTGTCCATCTACACCAAGATATTGACCAGGCACCTCACCTTCCATTCCATCTCTTCCCTAATAATTACCACTATGTTGTGACTACCTGATTCCACTTGCGAGTAAAAAATTACGTGGCATTGTAGACTTGTCTATGGAGTTTATTCCTGTGTCAGATGTGTAGAAAGGCTTTAATATTTTGGGTGGAACATTGGGTAAATAGTTGGACTAAGAACACAAGAGGGAAATAACGCTTGGAAGAGGGCTTAAGCGTACTTCGCCTCTGATTGTTCTCTACCTAGAGTCTGTCTTTCCAAGAACAAAATCTGGGAGGATTTATTCCATTAGATGGGCGATTGCTTGACAGTAGTCACTATCCATACACTGTTGTTTGCCTCCTATGTTGCTGAGAGTCTACTGTAGCTCCTCAAACTAAGAGAGTCACAGTTAATACCTAAATCCGGATATTCCCCCTAATATAGATTGCTATTTCTATCATAAGCTTAATAGATGATTCCTGTGCTGTATGCAATCTGGAATGAAATATTTGTCAAAGGGTACCATTTGATGGGATTAATGGTCTCCTACCGTGTTTTGAAGGCTAAAATGCTCATCGAAAGCTCTCTTTGATTTCATACCATAGCATACTACTTCCTAGCTGGGTATTATTTTAGCACTCATAATCTAGAGGGCTCTTCTGACTTAGCCATTTTTTTTTAAAGAGGTAATTGAAACACATTTTGTCTGTCTTCTTCAAAACCACATCACCAGTTCTCTCACACTCTTAGAATTAATCCTGACTGCCTCGATTTGTCACTGTTGACTTCTGTGAGCATGCGTAGTTTTGTACCTACTTGGTCACCACCGCTTCTCCAGTTTAAATTACAGCCAGGTCATTTTCTGTTCCTGAAACAGCTCAAGTTCCTTCTCCCTTGTAGACTTTTGAGCATATTTCCTTTTTTTTTTTCTTAAGAACACACTTGGTAGTTGTTATATCAACTGCCCCCATAAACTCTATAACCATTCAAATTTCATTTTGTATGTCAATTTTTTTTCAGAAACTTTGCTGTCATTGGCCCTCCCCTCCCTTGCTAGGTTAGAAATTTCTGCTTCGCGTAAGAGTGATCTGGAAGGTCCCTCTTAGAACACAGCTCAGCTTTTGTATTTGTTCAACTGTCACCTCAATTAGCCAGCATTTTTAAGGGCAGGGACTGGGTTGTCGTTTAGCATTGTGTTCCTAGGATGTTGACAGTGCAAGACACACTCAGTGTGAGAGAGAGTGGGTGGGAGAAAGTATATCTCATGCACTCGCTGGGAAAGCATTAAAATTTTGGACACATCCAGTAACATAAGCTAATATCTTTAAAGACTAATTATACCTAAATACTTGCATAATGGTTTTAAAGAGTTTTTCTCTTAAAGAGTAAGGAAGGTAGAGTACATTGTTCTGTATCTTTTCCAACCAACACATATACTACCATTCTAGATAAACTGATAGTTTCTTCAAACTAACTACCTCTTTGCTGGAATGGATATACATTGTCCAGAACCTTATGGGTCTTTAATTGAGAACCTGGTATCCACAAAATGAAAAAAAGTAGCTTGTCTTTTACCGATACCAATAATCATCATGGTTTTTTATGAAATGGTTGAAATGGAAAGAAACTTGCGGTAAAAGGCCCAGAGAACCCACCTGGCCATTTAGAACTGGTGGTTTGGGTAGACTTAAATTTCTAATATCCTTTTACACAGAAGACTCAGGTCTCAGCAGAATGGCTGAATGGTCAGAAAGTCTTCACCACTGAACTTTGTCAATGTATTTCTGTAAGTCTGGTTACATATAAATGCCTTCATCAGTGAGCAGATGGGTACCTTCAAACAGCTGTCAGTGTATCCCATCCCTCCAGAGATCTTACTTATTCACCTCTGCCCAAAACCTTACTGTCTTTAATGGGCAAATCTGATACTACAAGACAAACCAGCCTCTGTCTTGTTAATGCTGATAATCTCTTATACACAGAGCACAGCCATTCTACAGTGAATGGAATGGAAAGAAACTATGTCAGTAAGTGGGCCAGAGAATCTACACTTGCAATTTGTAATATGAGAGCTATGGTTATACCATATTGGGCAGAGTCCTGGACTCAAGATCTCTGGAGGAATGAGAGGGCGGTTGAGATCTGGAGGGGGCGGGGGGGTCAGTTCTGTTCTCTTCTCTAAGAGCTGATGGGAATGACAGAGGATGCTTCACTCTTAACCTCACCTTTTGAAAGTTTTTTGATTAGTTTTAACAAGAGTCGGGTATTCTTAGTAATGAACTATTCCTACAAGCCTTTTTAGACATTTCAGAGGCGATAAACAGAGCCGAATACAAATAAAGAAATCTGAAGGCAGACTGCAGAGAGATTCTGTAGGAAGATTATCCCAAATCCAGGAATTAG